ACAGCTGATGTAAGCGATGTCACTTTGTCCAAACTCAGCAGAGACCCAATATATACAAATGCAATCACTACAATTTATATTTATTAAAACTACTGCTGTTAAAATAATATTAAAATTGTATTCATTTTCTCTGAATAAATAAAGGCGTATATTTCATGAGCGTCCTTAACCTAGCTGCGTTGGTTCTCAGGCCAGTTTTCTCAAAAATAAATGCGGGAGGAAGGCTCCCCTCTCCCTTTATATCTCATAAAAAACAGACGCGGAATTTTTATATATTTTTTTTTAATAATTTCAAAATTAGCAACTTTTAATCATCAGTGCTTCAACATTGAGTGTAGAAATCAAGAAAAATTAATTCCTGCTTCTTCTCTTGCATCATCTACATTCCGAAGATTCGTGTAATGAAACGACGGCATCCTAAAAATCAGACATGTGTTAAACTTACAGAACCAAACACTTTTAATGATGCATCTGCTCAGTTGCTTAGGTAACACAACTAATCTAAGTCTTAGACTAAGAGTGTTTCAGCACTATAAATAGCACTTATGATTTTTTTAAACATTGTCTAATTTATCAGTCTTTGGTTTACCCACACTAAATGAAATCTGCGAATCTTGCTGACGTCTAAGATCATAGATTGAGGGAATCGTCTTTGATAGCGTTATTCATCGAGTTCTACAAAGGAAAAACCTTCATACCCCCCCCCCCCACACTTTGTATCATGGTAGTTTTACAGTGATTCCCTTATGAATTTGCACTGAAATGAATGCCATCATGACTAAACTTAATCTTGACGCCTTATCCTGTTAACTCGACGGCCATATTTGCGATTCTTAACTAGGCCAATAGTCTGGATCATCTGGATGTTTGTCAAACGTTTTACTGATTTCTAAAATGCAGTCAAAATGCGGTCGGAAATTCCGGATTTTTATTTGGGGACCACACGAGCGCATGAGAGAAATTTTATTTTATGCATTTGAGAATAAAAATGGGTGATGCGCATTGTTGAACGAGATGCAGGCGGGCCTGAGAACCAAGTTATTATTTTTTTTTAGGCTTTAGTGAAATAACCGTCAGTTTTGGTCTCGATTATAGCTCACGTGAGCCGATGGCCCAGGTAAGCTTATCTGATCAATATTTATCAGTTGTCTGTCGTTCTTTTGGCTGTTGTCATTGTCGCTGTCGTAAAATTTTGACAATGCTATCTTCCCCAGAACTGCTGGGTCAATTTCAACCAATCTTGGCACAGAGCATTCTTTGGTAAAAGATTTCATATCTGTTTAATGAAGGACAACAACCTCTTACAAGGGGAGATCATTAAGTAATGGTAAAAATTGGTTGGGATTACAGGGTTTAACACTAAGGCACGTTCGACCGACCCAGTCTAGTAAATGAGTGGTCCGGTTGTGTAAAATGTTCGTGAATTAGACCGATTGGTCGTGCTGATAAAATAACTGTTAACTCCCATTTCAATCTTTCAAATAATGAAATATATGACGATAACGTACAGTATTCAGGCTCAAGAGTCCATCAAACAATACAAAATAGGAGCAGAGCAAACACGGACCTCCAAACATCAGAGGTGGGATCAGGTGCCATGGAGGAGTGGGCATCCCCTGCCGACGGGTCACACCTGCCGTGTGCTCCTTGTCACGATCGGAAAATAAGGGAAAAATCCGTCGACAATTCAGTGTGTAAATAATGGCCTAACAATTTGTATGAAAAACTTCAGTCAGCATTTGACTCAATGATAAATTGTTTTTGCTGACAAGGTCATTGTATCGACCATAGAACTTACGAAATGATGACTTTAAACGAGACAGCTGATATTCTTGTTTCATCAACTTGTTTGTCAATAATTTACCTCGTTTTAGAAATTGTACATACGTAGAGCATGCTCTTGCGTATCGAATCAACTGAGAGATATATACCCCGTATGCAGGTGATGAAGGTATATTGCTGCATAAGTAAGGGATAAATAAATAATCTAAAAACTTTTAAAGAAAATTTCTTATTTCTCTGAAGCCATTGCTGAGTGAAGAAAAAAACCCCGCAAGACACAATCGCTATTTTTAGCCACGGCTGTAATTGAGACAAGTTGCAGTAGAAAATACTGTATCAATATGGTATATATACAGCTATAGTTACGTATAGTATAGTTTAAAATTAATTTCAGGCCCGTAGAATGGGGGGAGGGAGCAAGGGAGCCCCCCTTTTTCTGAGTATAATATCATAGTAAATTTTCCTATAGATGCAGTTTGCCCCCCCCCCCCCCCAATCACACACACTTCTTGATGTTGTAATTTCAAGCACTGGCAATTTGGACAGTAAATAAGGTTTTTCTTTTCTGCTTGTCAGGTAATTTCGGGAAACTGGCTCCAACTTTTGGTCAGTTTTTTTTTTTTTTTTTTTTTTTTTTTTTTTTTTTTTTTTGCTTGCTTGTCAGATTTTTTTTTAGGAGTTGGCCCCCCACTTTTGGCTGCTATGGGCCTGAATTTATCAATATTTACGATAATTATTTTATTAAAGTTTGTTGAATGTTCTTTAAGACTAATAATACTCGAAAATTCCGATCAACCCGACTCATTTGACCTATCGAACAGTCTGTCAAAAATATTGAGACGCGCAAGACGATGTCTTTATTAAGTATGGTTTCGAAAGTTACCTCATTAAAATTCTCGATTATAAGAATTAAATTTGCACGTTTGGTCAAGGCTAGTGATTTTATGGTCAGGGCTAGTAAAAATTATCGGAAGTAGCCCGTTTGGTCTAATATTTGTAAAAGTTAATGTCGAATCTTGCCGTTTTTTTTAAAAATTAAAAGAATAACTGAAACAAGAGGCCACTGGCCTTATAGGTCACCTGAGTATCATGCAACAACTCTCCAACAATTGAATTTGTTTCATGTTTTAAACAAGAGACCATGAAATTCACAATTTTGAAAGAGGCAACATTGGTAATCATAACAATACACTTAGCATGCCTACTTTGATTACTTAATACATAAACCCAGGGGCAGATGAGAGGAACAAAGAAAACAAATGCATTACCACTATATAATCATTAGTGCCCCACCCCACAGAAACCACTGACCCTGGAGCCACATACTTCACAATTTTCGAAGAGACATCTTTGCTTATCGTAAATGGTTGATTAATACCAAAGAGTAAATTTCAAAGTATTCATTCATTTTCAGTATGTGATCCTTAGAGCTCCCTCCAAACGGTAGCCCTGACCCAGGGGCCATGAAATTATCATATTGGAAGAGGCACCCTTCCTTCATCGGCATAATACCCAGGAGCAGAAGAGAAGATTTTCAAATAATTAATGCATTTTCACAAGTATATAATCAATAGAGCCCCGCCCTAACACCAAAACCCCTGACCCAGGGGACATGAAATTCACAATTTGGAAGAGGTACCCTTCCTAATCATAACTATGTACAGGCTTCATTAGTTTAATACCTAGGAGCAGAGGAGAAGATTTTTAAATAATTAATGCATTTTACCATATTAATAATTAGAGCCCCGCCCTAACACCAGAATCCCTGACCCAGGGGCCATGAAATACATAATTTTGGAAGACTATGTACATAACTATGTACATAGTTTATCGGTTTAATAACCACGAGTAGAGGAGAAGATTTTCAAATATTTAATGCATTTTCACTATATAATCAATAGAGCCCCGCACTAACACCAGAACCACTGACCAAGGGGCCATGGAATTAACAATTTTGGAAGAGACACCCTTTCTCATCATAACTATGTATATAGTTCATTGGCTTAATACCCAGGAGCATAGGAGAATATTTTTAAGAAATAATACATTTTCACTATATATTCAACGAAGCCTCGCCCTAGCACCAGAACCCCTGACCCTGGGGCCATGAATTTCACAATTTTGGTAGAGGGCTCAATGCTTATTACAATTATGCCAACAGTTTGACGGCTTCATGTCCAGGAGTAAAGAAGAAGATTTTAAATATTGCATTAATTTTAGTGGCTTTGGCCCCATCCCTCACGCCCCAGGGGGGCATGGACCATGAAGTTCACAATTTTTGTTTCCCTTTAACCATAAATGCTATATCTCAAAATTGGCTGAAATTGGTTGAGTGGTTTCATAGAAGAAGCAGAAAATGTTCAAATGTTAGCGCACAAAGCACGACGACTGACAAAAATAGGTCACCTGAGTGACACATGTGACCTAAAAATGAAACTTCCTGACATAGTGTAAATTAAAGTTTGTTCAGATCATGACCCCATTTTTTTTATCTATTGACAGAGGACTGACATCATCCTTGTTACATAAATTGATGTCGGCACATCAGTTGTTCAGTAACAGTAACAGTTGTACATGTCTACTTTGACAAACTATATGAAGAGGACAGTCTCCATCATTATCACATGAATCGATGTCGGCACAGTTGTTCAGTAACAGTTGCACTGTGCCATCATGTCCATTTTGACAAGCTATAGAAAGAGGACTGTATCCATTCTTGTTACATAAATTAATGTCAGCACCGTTGTTCAGTATCAGTTGTACAGTTCTATCATGTCCATTTTCACCAGCTGCCCAAAGAGAACTGCATCCATCAGTTTCACATAAATTGATGTCGGCTCCGTTGTTCAGTAACAGCTGTACGGTTCTGTCATGTCCATTACGAAAAGTTATACAAAGAGGAATGACCCCATCATTACTACATAAATTAATATCGGCACCATTTGTCAGTAACAGTTGAACAGTTTTATCCTGTCCATTATGACAAGCTAGATAAAGAGGACCGCATCCATTATTTACACATAAATTGATGTCGGCTCCGTTGTTCAGTAACAGCTGTACCGTGGTATTATGTCCCTTTTGACAAGCTATATAAAGAGGACTGCATCCATCATTTTCACATAAATTGTTCTGGCATCGTTGGTAAGTAACAGTTGAACCGTTTTATCATATCAATTTTGACAAGTTATAAAAAGAGGACTGCATCCATTCTGCTTACATAAATTGATGTTGGTACCGTTGTTTAGTTATAGTTGTACCGTGCTATTATGTCCCTTTTGACAAGCTATATAAAGAGGACTGCATCCATCATTTTCACATAAATTGATGTCGGCATCGTTGTTCAGTAACAGCTGTAGGGTTCTGTCATGCCCATTATGACAAGCTATACAAAGAGGACTGACCCCATCATTACTACATAAATTGATATCGGCACCATTTGTTAGTAATAGCTGAACAGTTCTATCATGTCCATTTTGACAAGCTAGATAAAGAGGATTGACTCTATTCTTGTTACATAAATTAATGTCAGCACCATTGTTCCATATCAGTTGTACCTTAATCTCATGTCCATTTTCACAAGCTATATAAAGAGGACTGACTCCATCATAACTACATAAATTGATGTAGGCACCGTTGTCCAGTAACAGTTGTACCGTGCTATCATGTCCATTTTGACAAGCTATCCAAAGAGAACTGCATCCATCATTTTCACATAAATCGATGTCGGCATCGTTAGTCAGTAACAGTTGAACAGTTTTATCATGTCCATTTTAATAGATAATAAAATAAGAAGACTGACTCCATTCTTGTTACATAAATTAATGTCAGCACCGTTGTTTAGTAACAGTTGTGCCGTGATATCATGTCCATTTTGACAAGCCATAAAAAGTGGACTGACTCCATCATTTTCACATAAAATTGATGTCGGCTCCGTTGTTCAGTTATAGCTGTACTGTTCTTTCATGTCCATTATGACAAGCTATACAAACAGGACTGACCCCATCATTACTACATAAATTAATATCGGCACCGTTGGTCAGTAACAGTTGAAGAGTTTTATCATGTCCATTTTGACTAGCTATATAAAGAGGACTGACTCCATCATTACTATATAAATTGATGTCAGCACCGTTGTTCAGTAAAAGCTGTACCGTGCCATCATGTTCATTTTGACAAGCTATATAAAGAGGACTGACTCCATCATTTTCACATAAATTGATGTAGGCACCATTTGTCAGTAACAGTTGAACAGTTTTATCATGTCCATTTTGACAAGCTGTCCTAAGAGACCTGCATCCATCAGTTTCACATAAATTGATGTCGGCATCGTTAGTCAGTAACAGTTGAACAGTTTTATCATGTCCATTTTAATAGATAGTAAAATGAAAGGACTGACTTCATTCTTGTTACATAAATTAATGTCAGCACCGTTCTTTAGTAACAGTTGTGCCGTGATATCATGTCCATTTTGACAAGCTATTTAAAGAGGACTGACTCCATCATTTTCACATACATTGATGTCGGCACCGTTGGTCAATAACAGCTGTACGGTTCTGTCATGTCCATTATGACAAGCTATACAAAGAGGACTGACCCCGTCATTACTACATAAATTGATGTCGGCACCTTTGTTCAGTAACAGTTGTACCGTGATATCATGTCCCTTTTGACAAGCTATATAAAGAGGACTGCATCCATCATTTTCACATAAATTGATGTCGGCACCGTTGGTCAATAACAGCTGTACGGTTCTGTCATGTCCATTATGACAAACTATACAAAGAGGACTGACCCCGTCATTACTATATAAATTGATATCAGCACCATTTGTCAGTAACAGTTGAACAGTTTTATCATGTCCCTTTTGACAAGCTATATAAAGAGGACTGACTCCATCATTTTCACATAAATTGATGTCGGCACCGTTGTTCAGTAACAGTTGTACCGTGCTATTATGCCCATTTTGACAAGCTATATAAATAGGACTGACTCCATCATTTTCACATAAATTGATGTCGGCATCGTTGGTCAGTAACAGTTGAACAGTTTTATCATGTCTATTTTAACAAGCTATATAAAGAGGACTGCATCCATTCTTGTTACATAAATTAATGTCAGCAGCATTGTTTAGTAACAGTTGTACCGTGGTATCATGTCCATTTTGACAAGCTATATAAAGAGGACTGACTCCATCATTTTCATATAAATTGATGTCTGCACCGTTGGTCAGTTGCAGCTGAACAGTTTTATCATGTCCCTTTTGACAAGCTATCCAAAGAGAACTGCATCCATTAGTTTCACATAAATTGATGTCAGCACCGTTGGTCAGTAACAGTTGAACAGTTTTATCATGTCCATTTTGACAAGCTATATAAAGAGGACTGACTCCATTCTTGTTACGTAAATTAATGTCAGCACCGTTGTTTAGTAACAGTTGTACCGTGATATCATGTCCATTTTGGCAAGCCATAGAAAGAGGATTGACGCTATCGTTGGTACATAAATTGATGTCAGAGCCATTGTTTAATAAGCAAATAAAGGTTCCATTACGTCTTTTCCCCTTATTTGTATCCATTCCGGCTTCTTTCATATGTTCGTCGTCATTTCCAGCAGCTAATGATAATGGAAACCACCTGTCGTCAGTTGTTAGCTTGTTTACGTCAGCACCGAATCTTATCAATTCCCCAATTATTGAAAAATTATAAAATACAGAAGCAATGTGAATTGGTAAAAAATAATCCCATGTTTCGATCATTGCTAATTTTTTATATTCCTCACTGAGAAAATTTAATAGGTTTAAATCGCCATTTGCACATATAGCAGAGAATTATGGATATTCTTTCAACTTAGTTTCAGGGATTGTGTTTAAGAAAAAAGAAGAAATATCAGTATGACAAAATACGATAAGCCCGACCAAAGGACATATTTCACAGTACAAAACAAGGAAACCAAGCCTTGACAAACCAGTGCCTTCAAATGATTTTGAAAATTCCGATCTGTCTATTTCACATTTAATTCTGACAAGAAGCTTTCCGGCTGAATCAACTTTTTCCTTAAAAGATTTGATCACATTCTTTTTCCTTAAACATGGATTGAGCAGAACATCTACAAGGTGCTGTGTTTGCATGTCAATAATAAATCTGTCCACAAGATCTCCAATATATTCTTCAGGCAGGTAAACAGTGAAGGGATCTCGATCTTTCTCTTCTGTATCGTCGTCTATTCTCATCCGACGTCGCAGAAAACCACTGTCTGCGTACTGTATTGTCTCTTTTGGGCAATCGACACCAAGTACCAATGTCGATATTTCCATGATGAAATCGTGAAGGAATTGGAAAGTATGTCCGACACATTTGACCAGTGACCCTTTAAGTTGGTGGAGGGTACTGCGAATGACTGCTATATTTGTATTCACATATTCTTAAAATGTCTCTGTATTTCTGGAAAGAATTGTCCTTGCTTCTGATGGTTTCAACATTCAAGTTATTGTTAAAAACAACAATAAAATTAAGTAGCAATATTTCTCTTTATCTAATTCTTTCAAACGTTCGATGTCCTTTTTTATGATTTCAAAGGGGTGTTTAAATAAACTTATTCCTTTCTTTTTGTAAGTTGATTCATTTGAAAATAATTTACAAAGCAAGGGAAAATAAGCTTCTGATCTAATAATTTCTTTGATATTTTCCTCAGACAAATGCATATGTTGACAGTATTTATTTAGGATCTTTCTTTTCTCTTCCGCTGAAAGTTTCCATTTCTCGCTGTCAATTTCTACTATGTTTGAGTCCTCTTTGAGAATTCCTTCTAATCTCTTGTCATAAATGACACATCTCGTACATGACACTAGTAATTTAACCTTCTTTAAGCAAGTCGCTAGCGTGTTCTCATATGTTTTCCATGAATTATATGAAACGTCATCTAATGACTCCTTACCAATAGGATCATTTAGAACAAACAATATTCGATTATCTGGCGATATTTCAAGAGAACATATTTCTTTTATTTCTTTTACCTCATCGACAGGTTTGATATTCCATTCATTTTCTTCAAACTTCAGTGCGATGTGTTGGATAATTGCAGTTTTTCCGCATCCAGAATTTCCGACAACCGTTACCAGGTTTTGACTTCTATTTTTTTTCTTCTACAAAATTACATGCTGTTGTTGGGACAAAGTGTGAGTTATCTTCTCGCCAACTTTTCAAAATATCTTCAATTAGAGTTGTACCTACAAATATTGAAAAAAAAATATATAATCAAAAGATATTTTGAAAATGTTATTACTTTCATGCATTACATTCCTCTTTTTATACTATAATTGTAAACAATGTAATACACCAGGAAAATATGTCTTTAACTCTTTTCTTTATTGAAGAAAAGACTTGAGCAAATAAACCTACACGTTAAATGAGAAATTGCATTACTTTATATTTTGTCTAATAAATATGTTCTAATTTTGTTTCAAATCTTAATGAATGTGTATATAACATTTAAATTTGTCATTGATTACATGAATATAGTTTCCTTTTTCTTATTTTCTCTCAATCTATATTTAGTTATATTATCTTCATTAAAATCATGTCAGAAATAACTGTGCATTATTGGTTTATAGATACGTTATATTGATAGACATAACGAGTACACATTGTATGATGATAATTTCAGAAAACTAAACAACAAACCTCTATCACTCTGCTCATTGACTCTCTCCAGGAGTGATTCCTGTGTTAGGGCTTCGGAAGTTTGAGATGTTTGGTTCTTAATGGAATCATATCGAACTTCTACACAGGATGACATGTCTAAGAATATAATAAGATACATAGAATAATATTGATTGTAAGTTATACTGTCATGATAAAGTTTTAAAGCATTATAGCCAATAAAAATATAACAGTTTCATATTAGTAAATCAAAATTAGTTAACTAAATTTAACTAATGTAAAGGATTGATACTGAAAAAAAGTTGTAAGACTGATAGAATGACAAAACAGTAACAAAATATTTGATCTGGAAGGACTTAAAGAGGTTCGTTCCTGAGCTTTTGGGCAGATTTTTGTCTGAATTAGAGTAAGGGTTAGGAATTAAGAAAAAGAAAATGACGTTTCCTTCGAAATGTTAGCCTTTAAACTTTTGAGAAAAGCAAACATCACAAAAGATAAAAAAAAATGTTAGGCTTGAATGAAATGAACTATGAAAATACAGACACATTATATGAAGAAGCAAAGAAGTCCTTGAAGAAGTTCATGGGTGAAGGTGGACATGCACAGTGTGACAACAAGAATCTAGAAACTAGAACCAGCATTTTTAGCAGAAAATAAAGAGACGCTATTGGCTGCAGGTTATGAACAAAGAGGTGGCAACTATGGATATCGGCAAAGTGGATGCTTTTATCATAGAAGGGGTTGTGGTAAAGGTTTAGGATTTTACTCATCACGGCACAGAACTAGAAAATCTCCACATGCAAGGAAAGATGCTGATGAAAAAAAAAACTTGATATGCAGATCGTGTGGATTATTCCAAAACCCCGAAGCAAAGTGTGTAGACAGTGTGGAAAATGTACACATCACAGAGGAAGAGCCCTCAGCAGAACATGCAGTTTTGTTAAAAGGATACAATAAAATGAATTCGAAGTCAGCCAACTTTGGACAGAAGCATGAAACTGTATAGTGCTTTATAGTGCATGCAATAGCAATGTTTGTGAAAAAAAAAAAAAAAAAAAAAAAAAAAAACTTGGTTACAGAGTTACCTTGGCTCATTGAAGAAAAGTGTTCGTTGGAAAGTCCTGAGAAGTGATGGACATAGAGTGTTTAAATTTGGAGGTGGAACAAGATTAAAATTTGAAGGTAAATACGAACTACTTAGGTGTATAATTGGTACACCTATTACGGTAAACACGGATGTCGTTGACTTAGACATACCATCACTGCTCTCCAGAACTGGGGGTAAAATTGGATTTGGAGAAGGATACTGCTGTCATCATGGGACAAGATGTGAAACACAATTTAACTACATATGGGTAATATTGTATACCAGTTGACAAATTTAGAGAGTGTGCCTGTAGAAGAGGTAAACTCGGTTAAGCTTGAAGAAATAAAACCTGAAAAGTGAAAGTCATCTCTCTCGAGATTTCGTTGGCAATTTGCACCCTCCCCCCTAAAAGAGATTTGTACCTTTGTTAAAAGATGCAGGAGCATGGAAGGAAGAGTTTGAGGAAATAGGACAAAACTAAGACCTTTGTAAAGAATATGCAAAAACTCCACCAAGACCAGTAGTATCAATGCCTATGGCAAAAGAATTCAATGAGAAAATTGCGATGGACCTCAAACAGTCTTTTGATGTTACACATGACAGATATGTGGTCTAGATATACAGTTTCGGTTTTCATAAGAGACCAAGTGATGTGATTGATGTTATGTTGAAGAACTGGGTCGGAGTATATGGAGTAATGGGAGCTTTGATGACGGACAATGGAGTTGAATTTAGTTCAGACGAAATGCCAGAAATAGCATTTATTCTCAACATTCGTTTGTGCAAAGCAACAGGAATGAGCCCTTTTCAAAATGGACTTTGCAAAATTGTTCGTGCTGTAACAGATGTCGTGCTGATCAAACTTGAAGGCTAAAATAAAGTGTTGGTATTAAAACACTTTTTGCATGGGTAAATATGGCAAGACACTCATTACAAATGTGGAATGGATTTAGCAGCGATCAGTTAATATTTGGACAGAATCCAAATTAACCACAAATCATGAAAGGAAATTCGCCTGCATTAGAAGGAGCTACAAGTTCCTAGACATTGTCTAAACATTTGAACACCCTGCATGAATCAAGACGTGCCTTTATTCAGATTGAAGGAGATGAAAGAAAACGAAGAGCTCTGCGTACAAAAGTAAGGACAGCAGAAGAAACATATGACAATAGTGATTTGTTGTTTTATAAAAGAGAGGTTCAAGAGCGCTGGTTAGGACCTTGAAAAGTTGTATTTCAAGACAGAAAAGTTGTGTTTGTGAGGAAAGGGAGTGTCTTTGTGAGAATATCCGCTAACAGACTGTGCAAAATTAAACATGATCAATCAGAAATAAAACTGAATGAAGATAGTATTGAGCAGCTTAAATAAGGATGCAAACAGTCACAAATGGACCTTGCTGTGCTCACTGAAGAAAATGGAAAAATTCTAATGGAGATAGTATGCTGTCATCTTGATGATTTTTTAAACGCTGGAGAAAGGGAATTTGAGAACTTGTTGTGTAAACTAATACATAGATTTCTAGTTGGTAAAGTTGAGGAGCAAGATTTTCCGTATACGCAGTACAGTTAAGGTGCCAAATGGAAATCTAGGCGAATGTTTTAGATAGAAAATACATTCTTTAGAAGGATGGGCGATTCTTTTTAGGACTTTACTATCATCGGACAAATGTAATGTGGTTGAAAACTACATGTTGAGGACGATTAAATGTCTTATTTAGACTTGTCACATGATGTGGCAGTCACGTGATTTTAGCAAATATATCTGCAGTATTGAGGTCATCTATCAATTCCAATATTGCAAGGGCATAACCAAGTTAAAAATCTATATTTATTTATTGTGTGTTGTTTTACGTCCCATTCGAGAATTTTTTACTCATATAGAGAAGTTACCATATACCGGTGAAGGGCTTCAAATTTTGACCTTTACTCGGCACTCAGGGCCATTGAGCAGTGAGGTATCATGATCGTGCCAATGCCTGCCGTGACACGGTGCCTCGTTTTTTAAGGTCTCATCCGAAGGACCCGCAACTTTCACTTCAAAGTGCCGAGCGCACGGCGAAGGAACAGTTGCTACCTATTTTTTTATCGACTTAGGTCTGTCGCGGCCGAGATTCGAACTCACGACCTTCCGATCACGGAGCAAGCGCTCTACCGACCGTGCTACCGTGAACGGTGTTAGTTAAAAATCTAAGTTTAATTTATAATTATTTTCAATACCCTTCTGTGAATCTGCATACAAATATACAGCAGTATCGCTTTTCTAGGGAATGTACGGGAAATATGTGAGTAAAATCATAAAACAGACATCGCTTCCAAGTTAATGGCATTTTTTATGTCTGAAAATAATATTGAATTACAAAATACATTTTTCATTTTATAAAATATAACTTGATCCGCCTCTTACTGCATACAAACTGCATCAAATTTTCCGATATGATGTCACATTGACAAGTGCATTGCTATCAGTGAATTGTTAATATATTGCTGTTAGGGATTTGACCAACGACAAAAATACATGCAATAGTAAGCATTGATGTAGTTTAAAGCTATCCAACAGTTTAAAATAGCAAATCATTTCATTTTGTGGTAATTTGAAGACCTTGTATTTTTGTGTGATGTCATAGTAAGCATTTCCCGTATAAATTAAGCCCCGCCTCCTCATTGTAGCCTTAACTGTGCTGCGTACATGTATTGGATTCCACATAAATTAGAATAAAAATGGAATTATTGTAGATCACTCAATGTTTAAAGAGAAGTACGATCACCAGCACGTTGATAAAAAATTCGATTCAGAAACATGAATAACTTACTACAGAAAAACAAGCTTTATACCGTAAATTAATTGGACATCTCAAGGTACAAGGCCAGTTTTAGCATATGAGATGGTGGATCTAAGTACCAAATTAAAACTGCAACAGTTACATACATGCTGAGAGCAATAAAAGTTATCGGAAAATTGAAAGACATCAGACCGACTCAGCTTTTCCCTCCACTATATGGGACAGCTAAAAAGGACTGCGAGATTGTTGTCCTTTTATCGGATGCAGCGCTGGCAAATATATACGAGGGAAAGGAAATTACTGGAGGATAACAAAATAAAAAAAAAAGCTGTTCCTTCAATAATTGTTTCAGAAGCCTAAAGTTCGCAGGAGGGCCTAGAGTATGCGTTGTACTACAGGAAACTACTAGTGGAGATGTATAAATTGGAAGTAGATATAATACCAATCACTGCATTTATGGACAACAAGAGTGTTTGTGAGGCATCACTTTCTACAAAAATGGTGGATGACAAACACCTTAGAATTGACATAGATGTAATAAGTGAAATAAAGAATAACAATAATGTACAGGTGAAATGGTGTCCAGGAAAATGCAGCTAGCCAATTGTATGACCAAGCGTGGAGCAAATGGTATGGAGCTTAAAATTCTCCAGACAGGGAAGATGCTAGAAGAATTTGTGTGAACTTTTTTGATAGACATTGTATGAAATATATGAAGATAACGAACAGTATTCAGGCTCAAAAGTCCATCAAACAATACAAAATAGGAGCAGAGCAAACACGGACCTCCAAACATCAGAGGTGGGATCAGGTGCCATGGAGGAGTGAGCATCCCCTGCCAACCGGGCCACCCTCCGTGTGCTTTTTGTCATGATCGGGAAATAACGAAAAAATCCGTCGACAATTCAGTGTGTAAATAATGGCCTAACAATTCTCAAATACATCTCTATGCTAGGGGGGCAGAATAGATCCCTGGTGAACAGAGGGTAGTCTAACCCAATGAGGGTCATTATTGTCAATATAAATACATGTAAATATTAAGTATACTGATTTTCATTGACCATGTTGATATGTTAAATCTCTTTATAAACAACTCCATCAAATATCCTCGAAAAAAGAAATTAAAGTAAATGTTAATATGTTCTAGAACATACATCAAGAGAGATAACTCTGAGTGTAGAACTCTTCTGTGATTAGAAAAAGTATTGGTTGATGTGTCTGAGTAAAGTATGTGTGTGAAAAGAGTGTGTTCACTGTTGTGATTGGTTGGTTATCCCTTGAAAATATTGATTAAGACATAACATGCCAATTTTTCATTTTGACAAATAAAAATATAAAATAAGAAAAAATATACTTTGTTTTAGAGTTTCAATTGTATATTGTATGATGTTGGTAAGTGATCAGAAGGGCGTTATAGGATTTTATCATGTGATCAGCTTTATTTCATATCCCAGTGAATCTCTAAAAATGATATTATTTCTTGAATTTTTTTCTCTCAGAAATTGTGATATATTTATACAATACCCCCCCCCCCGAAAAAAAATCTCAATCTATGATACTGTAAATCATCATTGTTTGTGGGGGACCAAAGTTCGTGGGTTTCGTGGGTCACCCTAATCCAAGTATTACATCCCATACATTCATTGAACTGTCTCAATAAACCAGTTACCTACGAAATTACGTCCAAACGAACAAAATTTTGCTTACCCATGAAGATTAACCCCATCGAATTAAAATGTTACCACAGTAGATATCTCTATACATCTGATCAATTGATCGACATACAACTGTACGTTGTTTTGTTTTGGATTTTTGAAGTCGTTGTCAAACCCTTTTCACTTAGCTGTTAAAAGTTCTGAAGTTTTCTAAAATTGTCCATTTTTGTCCCTATTTCTATTTTTTAGTAACGGAATTTTTTTTTCATAAAAGAGGCTGTTTTCATATCGGTTTTTAAATATCTTTTCTTCTCATCAATTTGGAATACAATTTTTCGAATACAATTTTTAATCAAAAAATGTAATCTTGTCAAATATAAGTATACATCATCTGCTTCATGGGTGTCTGTGTTTCGAATTCTACGACTAACCTCCTTCACTTCGGTCTTCATTTTCTTTCTCCGGTAATAAAGCATCCGTTTCTAAATATTGACTCTGCAGTAAATTCATCCTTATTCCTACAGAAGGCATCTTATCTATTAATAAAATACATTAAATGCTATTTGTTTTCTTTTGAATATTTTTAGATTTAAAATTTCAAAAATGTAACTAATCGATGTTTTTCAAAATTTTGTGTCTTTTAAATCCGTCTCCACATTTTCCCCATTCTATATAAAGGACATTGTCTTTACAGGGATTTAAAAAGAATTAGAAAAATTTACCTCCAGTTTGCTTTTCATTGGAATTACGAGAACGTTTTCGTTTCCAAACAAAACATAAACAGAGCACTATAACGACAAGTACAGCTATTACCACGGGTATCGCTATCCAGTTTTTTCTACCAGAAATATCCCCCAGACTGGTAGAAGTGTTCCATAATAGCGTGACATTGATTGTAGGAGAAACAGTCGTGACATCCAGGTCACTACAAATTTTTTTTTTTTTTTTTTTTTTTTTTTTTTTTTTTTTTTTTTGGAAGCAAGGTAACCTTTGTGTGCAACATTGTGTTTAATGTATAGGAAGGAATTATATGATTTACAATAAATTCATATTTTATTGTAGAATTACCTGCTTACACTAGGTCAGGTAGGGTCAGCTAGATAACATCTTTTTTGTTTGTTGATTTTTGTGCAAGCTGGAACTAGAGATACAAAACTCAGCTAATATATTATTAATATCAGTCTTGCATTTTTCATTTATTTAACAGACAGATAAACCTTTTTTTCTTTACAAAAAAAAAAATCACATAAACGCTTAAAATCAACAAAAATCAGAGATTTAAAAAAAAAATGAAATATACTTATTTGATAATTTCATTTAAATGATAAATTACACTTGAAATTTTACCAAAAAATATCATATGCATGCTAGAATTACCAGTAATTTACAAATGAATGTTGTGCAATCCAAAACATATTTATTCATTTTGTTTGTTTGTTTTGTTTTGTTTTTTTTTTTTTTTTTTTGTTTTTTTTGTTTTTTTGTTTTTTTTTGGTTTTTTTTTGAGGTGGGGGGGGGGTTGTTTTGTTTTTGGGTTTAGGGGTGGGGTGGGGGGATGAAGATAGTTTTTGCAGTTTAAGCGTAACAGATAAAAGGGAATTCAATAGATTATGACAAGATCAAATTCTATAAATTGGAATACATTTTTTTGTACGAAAAAATAAGTCCAATCAAAAGATAAAAAAGAAATACTTATTTTTTTCACTATATATAACGAAACTTTTGGATGAAAGAAATATACTATCTACATGTGGTTTATTTTCCTTATAAAAACTTTTTTTGACTTAACAATATGCATTCATTTTCAATCATTAATACAGAATAGAAGTTTTTCGAAACGATTTTTTTATTAGTCGCATACGTTAAGATCACCTTGTTTGGTTTTATTTTTCTGTCCGTCTGTTCAAAAGGAAGCAGACTTTAAAAAGAGAGTTTAGGCTTTTCAATTGACCAATGCCAAGGTATCAAAACCTTTTTTTAAAAGTCTTAGGTTGAAAAACTGATTACAAGTGAATGATTTTATAAATGAAAATATATGTTGATTTATGTTAAGCAGTACATCTAAAAACTAGCAAATTGTAATGTTTCTTGAATAGACATGAACAATTTCAAAAAAAAAATAATAATAATCATTTATTTCACTTTTCCAAGTTTAAAGAGGTAAAAAAATATAAAACGAATTTTTCAGAGGATATTAGTATATTTAATACTGTGTTCAAAGTAGGTACTGATTACATTTGTTTGTTTAACATCCCTTTTGAGAGTTTTTCACTTAAGCTTGTCGGTGGAGGACTGCGAATTTTAGACCTATGCTTTGCACTTAGTGCCATTGAGTACTGAGGGATCTTTTAATGCCAGCACCTGCTGCGACAAGGGAAGAATGATCTATGGTTTATATGCTCTCATCCGAAAGATCCGAATCCACGTCCAGCAGTGAGATTACAGTTGGCGACGTTAGTATCAAGACCTTACTCCGCAACGCTCTAACCTCTTTGCCACGTAGGCTACTGTTATGATTACGTAATCAATAGTGAAAATCATTCAAATGGTACGTCTGAATATGGCAGAGAAAAAACGTAAACCGAGCTGGACAATGGAAGAATGTTTGCATCTCAGGCGCTTATTCATTGATAATAAAAACATTTTGAGGGCTAAATTCGGCACCGGAGTGACCACTCGAAAGAAAAGGGAAATTTGGAAATCCATTACTGATAAAATTAATGCTGCCAACCCTTCAACAGTCCGAACCGTTGAAGAAGTTGAAAAGAAGTGTCATAACCTTCATATGAAGGGAAGGAGAGAACTACCTGATTTCATCAGAAGTTTGTAGAAAACAGGATCGTGAAATGTTGAACGTTATTTATGTCAGGTATGTTGTTTACTGTACCTAAAATACGAGTGATATATGGGCGATAACTCTATTGAGGCATAAAATAAATTCTTACAGTAACCGCGAGATTCTAAATTTGATATTTTAAGAGATTCATATTGTGTTTAAGAAATGATTTTATCAACCACCAAAGTTAGACTGTCCAATAAGCCTTTATGGATCGTTTTAATTCGACTGATATATAATACGAAACGAGGGTATAAAATAATAAAGGTAGTTCCGAAAAGTAGGTCAAATTTCAGTATATCTCGGAAACTTTACGGAATTTCGGAAGACCTTTAGTAATAATGTAGATTGTTTATATGTGAAATGTGAATATATATATGAATAGAAGATAATTATAATTCTAAATCATTTGATTGATTTATGAGTGTATTACTGGCCAGTGAAGGTACCCAATGCGAGAATATGCATACCTTTATTCCCCCCCCCCCCTTCCCACAGGCCAACCAAGTTTTTTCAGTATAAAGTGACAGTGACCAATACATATACAGAGTACTTTATGCTTTACATACCGCGAAGACATTGTTTTGTCACAAACTGCCAGAGATTCTAAATAAGTGCCCAAATTCCAAATTATGAATTTTTCAGTAAACAGAAAAAAAATGTTTATACATTATCGGAACAATCAACTTACAAAATAGGCTTACGTGCCATAAAATTAAATTATTATATCAAAATCCAACTACATGTAGGAAATTTTTCAGCTTCATGCATTTATGCACATAATGCATAACAAAATGTGTGATGTTATAACATTCAACAAAAAGAGGGGGGGGGGGGATCAAGAGAATAGAATGAGGTTGGACTAAATTCCTTCATTCCTGGAAAAGGAATTAGTTGCAGCCTATAACAAATTAACAAGTCATGATGAAAATATTTTTAAAAATGATACAATTGCATCTATGATATCTCTTTGATAAAATATTTCACTTTTTAAATTATGGATTTTTTCTTCTTTTTTTAAAATACCCCCCCCCCAAATAAATAAAAAATAAAATGAGTAAATTTACACAGGTGGGGGACCAGCAGAGAAACCTTTAAGTGCATTGTCACAAGCTGTTCAAGAGGTAATTGGAGAGGAAAATGTTTCCATCTGTGGAATACATGGGGCTTTTGATTTCTCTTAGATGACGTTTAACACTTTCAACAGTGGTGTGGAAGACATCCCATCTGATTCTCTGCGAGAATAAAGCTTTCTTAAAGAGTCTGTCAACTATATTACTGTTTTTTCTCGGTGTCGCCTGTTCATAACTGTTTTTAATAGTAAAAGGGATCATTTGGAGGTAATTCTAAAAAAGAAATTAAACAGTCGAGTGCTGAAGGATTTTCAGCTTGATCCACAACTCCCAACATACACGAGTCACACTATTATCCACAAAGACGTGTCACTGGGTACCTCGGACTTCCAAATGCCACCAACTTCTCTAAGAGAAACAACTACAGTTAAATGTAAATTAGCCAGAGAGAAACTTCAACTTGAAATTGAAAACCTCCGTCCGAGAAATGCCCTTCTGAGACAACAATTGAAAGATTTCAATAAAAAAGACTTATAAAAAATATTTCAATTTTCAGCATCATCATCATCACTGTCCTCATCAAAATCATCGTCACTTTCTCCATCCTCATCAATGATTGGCGTGTTGAGCAATTTTGCTGAATTATGAAGTACGGCTCAAGCCATTATAATCCTGCAACCCCTCTCTGGACACATCCTTATCTTTGAATGTATAGTACGTGGAAACGTCTTTTTCATTGTCCTATGGCTCTCTCCACAATGCATCTTGTCACCTTGTGTGAACTATGAATGAAAAATAAATCATGGATTAATGAAGCATGAAATAAGGAAAATAATGGGAAGGGGTGGGGGGGGGGGTTCAAGTTCTAACTGGAAAATGCATATTATCAAATTTTTAAATCAATAATTTTCTACGAAAATAATGTTTTCACATTTCAGTGTACTTTTTAGTTAATTAATTTTGTTGAATTCAATTATTCCTGAGTAAAAAGTAAAATTCAATATTGTCAGGGCCGTAGGAAACAATTTCAGGTTATCAGCGTAAATTAAATTTGAACATATATCAGTATCGTATATACTATCCCTTTCCTCATCGTCAGAACCACTCAATATTGCATATGTGCTTACTTTGTGGACATATGCAAGATTGACCATGGGTTTCCAAGAAAATTTTTTTATGGTCTCGGGTTTTTAACACGGCTTTACAACTTTGATAAAATGCGACTACGTCCAGTATATGGCAATGTGCATCTACGACAATTTGCACTTTAATGCTATGGCAGTTTTGCGATTTACGAATTCTTCCTCATTAACTGTAGGACGTAGTATCCTAACATGGGTCCCGTCTATAGCGCCAAGCACTCCTGGAAAATTGGCAATTGCGTGCAAGTCTGCTTGAATTGTCTGAGAGTCAGTGGAAAATTTCATGTACCTTCGTCTGATATGCAGTCGAGTTAAGACTGTAGAAACCCTCTGTATTATTCTGAACACAGTTAATTGGTGAATTCCAAAATCATCCCCGTTACATAACTGCATTTTTCCTGTTGCGAAATAGCTAAGAGCTATCATGACTTGTAAATTAGTTGGTATGCTACAATTTCGACTTGTTGCTGGTGAAACGAAATCGACAATCAGCGTCCCGATATGTTCAATCCATGCATTGTCTATCAACACGATAGCGTGTGATAAGCCCTTATCTATTATATTCTGTAAAGGGATCTAATCTCTGCTTAAAAACACGTCTGGCAGCCATTTTGCTATTGTATGCAAAATGCTAAAAACATTAAGAAAGGTGGGGTGTTGCTTAACTTTAAGCATATTCTAAGTAAGAATAAGAAGCATCATGCAATCCACTTACAACGCCACAACGTCACTCTACTTAGCGTAAATCGGCACTTAAGAATATGCTTAGCAGAATAAGAATGTTTAAAAAAAACTTACATTCCAGCATCAGTTTGGATTGGTAGTGCTTGCTGGGACAGCCTTCAGTAAAATGTAGACACGATCTGTTGTTTAAATATCCAGATTGTAGAACCATACAATTTCCTGTCGATTAAAATGTTAATGATGCATTCTACATAGAAGTTACAAAAAAGGTATTAAACTTTGTTTAAAGGCATAAATTATTTAATTTGTTTAAATTGAACCCTCGTTAGGCTTTAATATAATTGCTCTTTTTAAAAAAAAATGTAGGTTACATGCAGAATCCATAACAATCAAGTGCAGAAAAAACAATGGAAGAAGGACATGCATGTAATATGTTACTTAATATATGAAAATATACATGAATTGTTGTTTTAAAATAAGATGATCATTAAATAGCATTAATTTTATCAGCATGGTCAGAATAAACATACAACATTTTATTTTACTATTTTCAATCAAAAAGCTGGTGTGGTAACACAATTCCACAAGCTGAGATAAGTCCGACGATGGAAGACAATGATATGTGTTTTCAAACTTGTCAATTCCAGAACAGTTCAATCTTTTGGAGGCATAGACAATTTCAGAAATGTTCCCCGGACAACTGTTAACTGGAAAAACAGTTCCTCTAGATTGTGCTGTGGGCATCTGTAAAGATTCAATAATGCTATACAGATAGTATTTTGCATTATATTTTATGCATTATATTTTACATCATGCATTATATACACCAGAACACAGTATTGTAAAGGCTGCATAAAGAGACCAAGGCCTAATCTATAGGGAAATGTTTACTGTGACATCACAAAAACTAGTAACTCTTAACTATAACAGAAAATAAAATAATTTGGGATTTTCAAATGTAGAGTTATAAACTATAGCATTTATTTTATTCTTAGTTAAGTCTAACAAACAAAAAGTTTTAACAAGTCATTGATCGCAAAGGCCATGTCGACATGACGTAATCATGGTACAATTTGAGGTATTTTATGTGCAGAGTTATACGGATCAAGTGATTTTCTCAGAGTTAAAAATGCATTCTTTTATTAAGCAAAATTTTATATACAAATGTTAGAGCAATAATACAAATGTAAAACTTTTGTTCAGAGCTGTTATTCAATCGTTATCGAGAGGTTATAATTAGGTTTAGCGTTAGGGTAAAACCTTACCCTAAACCCTGAATAAGTTTTACTGTATTTTCCTTTAATATCGAGAGATTTTATCGATGGAATTCCTTTGATATCGAGTTGCTTCACTAAATCGCCTTTTCGCAAGGGCATACACAAAATAGAGGGTGACCATTTTTTGAGTACATGCATAAAAGAAATAATCCTTAACTGAAAAAGTACTGATTCTTCTCTTAAATCGAGAGTTTCACTTAATAAATACATATAGAACATGGTAAAGGTAATACATATTTCAACTGGAACACAATTACTTAAAATATGCTTAGCAACACATGGAAGAATGAAATCTATCAATTTCAAACAACTTCCGGTTTTTTATATTCACTTCTGGTATGACCGGAAGTATTCAAAATGACTTTTAATCCTCACTGAGTGTGGGGGATTCATCCCTCAAAGTTTCGAGGAAAAATGAGCATTTTCTCGTCTACTTCCGGTTTGGAAGAAATAACATTCGGTGGAAATAATATGACTTGAAACAGTTTATTTGCCTCGATTATCTCTATTATAAACATTTAAAAAAATAAAAAATAAAAATTTGCATTTTTAAAAACTACTTCCGGTGGACAACGGATGTCACGGCAACCAAAACTAAACAAGAAATTCAAATCTACGAGTCACAATCTATCATTCCTGAAAGTTTCAAGACTCAATCTCAAAGCGTTTTTGAGAACTCTGGCGGACAAAATGCAACTTAAAAAAAAAGAAAATTGAACGTATCTCGCGACCGGAAGAGACGACAGCAGAATAATAAAAAACGGTCTAAGTTCAGAGAGTTTGCCATCATTGCTGAAAGTTTCATGGAAATCTATCGGGGCGTTCTTGAGAAATCGCCTGCACAAATTCGGTAAGAAAAAAAATAATAATAGTGGAAAAGAAGCAATAGAATCAGTAGAAGGTCTTCGGTTGGAAACGGAATACCTTAATTAAATTAAATAAAAAGAATGAAAACCAGTCTTTGTTGATGACCCTTACCTAAAAAAAAAATGATTGATATTTTCCAGAAACAAATATTTAAAATTAAAAATCTCTGTCAACAGCAGAAAAAATATTTTTAAAGGACTTTTTTTCTGGCATGTACGACCAACATTGTGAATCAAAAAGTATTTAATTTGAACCAATAAATGATTTGCACATTTTTAAAAGATAATGAAATTAAAGTCAATAAAAACATTTTCATACATAAATATAGCTTAAATGTTTCACAAGTTCCATTTTATTCAAAAAAGCAACAAAATAGGTTTTACAGTTTTAATATTTGCTTGGTGTCTGAAAGAGAAATCAACAGGACGTCCGGGTATTTATAAACAAATATTGAATTGCCCTGCAAAATCTAAACTTTCAAAGTACTGTATGTGGTTTATGCATATTTCAGCCTCAATAAACGTTATTAAAATTGAAAAAAAAGAAAAAAAAAGAAGAAAAAAAAAACTTGGAATGTGCTAAATTGTATGTATTGCATGAAAAATCCTAATTAACAGGAGAAAAAAATATTGTTTCGAAGTAGGTTATTTGCAGTTTCTTTTTTATAACGTCACAAGCTATTTGGAGTTTCCGTTATTTTTCAGAAAGAGGACCGGTCGGCAGGGGATGCTCACTCCTCCATGGCACCTGATCCCAAATCTGATGTTTTGGAGGTCCGTGTTTGCTCTGCACCTATTTTGTAATGTTTAATGGACTGTTGAGCTTGAATACTGTTCGTTATCTCCATATATTTCATTTGTTCAATTTTTCCTGTATAGTTCATATAGCGCAAACCTGCTCAATAACAATATTCACATATTTCATAGATATTATCAGTCTACATATTAAATCAAAACATTGAGTTGGAGCGGTGAATTTTGCTCAAAATATCTATGCAATATGCACCCTTTTCTCTATAAAACTATGGATTTATGAATCGTGAATTTAAGTCACTTTCCTGACATCATATAGAACATATATATGGCGTCATGTCTGATAGAAATATTTTAAGTTTTGAAGTCTGCAGATACCCCCCCTGGTTAAGAACAACTTGTTCAGATTTCTCTGTCAAAGTTTTATTTTTGGGACAAATATTGGTCAGAGCAGAATATAGTCCTTTCAGTCCATAATACTTTATATATCAGTTGGACTAATGGTGACAAATATTTGATACAGTTGACATTTTTTTCTTGTTGGTTAATATATTTCTGAATTCTTACATTCTTACCAATTTCTATTTACGACATTTTCTTCCAAATGCCCGATGTTCAAAGCTGGTTAAAAAATAAAATAAAGCAAAGCATATAATCTAATACAATCTAATTTTCAAGTATAATTTGAGAGAACTGTTTATAAAGATACATGATTTGTGACAGTATGGAATTTGTATTCCAATAACTGCAGGAGCAGACTCATTTGTTGCTTTTAAAGACTGACTGCAAGCGAGTATCTAGCATTGTATGACTAAAAGCTATCTCTGTGCATCACAGTGCATTCTGGATTTGAATATCAAAGAACTAGAGACAGCTTATTTACAGTACCGTTCAAAGAAAGGTAGAAAAGAAAATATACTGAGTAATGTAATTTTATTAATTTAAAAAAATACGTGTTAAACTTGAAATATTCCAAAACAAATTAAATTTCACAAATTGTTATAGCTCTAGAAAATGTCCTGTTTTTTTTTTTTTTTTTTTTTTTTTTTTTTTTTTTAGAAATGATGCCCCAAGTCCATCAATTATATGAAAACTGTTAAAACATATTTTTCAAAGAATGATACATTTAAAAAGTGATCATGTCCCCTCCCGTATGCGTAGTAGCATCAAAAAAGTGTCACAGTTGGAAGAGGACAGTGGATTTTCAGATGCCTTGCCACACAAAGCAGGCATGCCTCTTTGTAGTAAGCATTCTTATAATAACATTGTAAAAAGTGAATATAACGAACAGTGTTGTGTATCATAAATCTAATCGTAAACAGGGCAATATTACAGACCCGTTAAAACACCAGAGATGGGATCAGGCCCCGGGGCCATAAAACTTAGATGAGCCCACTTCTGATCTCAGTCTCACTTTTCTACTATTTATTCCTTTGGTAAAAGTGAGACTGAGATCAAAAGTGAGCTCGTCTAAGTTTTATGGCCCCGGAGCCTGGTTATCAGAGAAGTTATCATCATCTGTCGACCGAAATACAATATGTCAATTTTTCTGTCTTAGATAACCATCTTAACAAAAAATGAAGAAAAAAAATCTTATAATAAAGAAAATATATACATTGAGTTGGTTCTGAGCAACAACGGATAGTAAGATAGAAATGATAACAAGAAATACAATATGCCAAAAACCATGCATTATTACAACAAACATTTACAGAAGGATTTTTACCATCTGATTAGTGTGTGTAAGTCAGAAATCACTGAAAATATTCTGAGGTATAATTTGTAGATTCTGCTCTTACAAGTATTCACAGCTATTAGGCTACATACTAAAAAAGAACAAACAATACAAATCTGTGAACAGGGCAAAAGACACTGTCCGTGATTATGATAGTTTACAAAATGCTCTTTACAACAATAAAAGGAAAAGTTTCCATAAAATACCATTATGAGTCATTCAACAAAAGATCAAATGATGTGATAAATCAAAATACATGTTCATTATTTGTTTGGGTTTTAAAAAACGGTTCATTTAAATGTACATGTATATGTACACAACAACAAAAAAATAGAAAATAGAAAATCTTCCTAAAATATTACTAACATCTGGCCCCTCAACTTTGACAGAGAAACAATATACTTTCTTTCTTCCAATTGGTTTCAGGTAACTTGCTGCTGAAAAAAAAAAAAAAAACAGAATATTTTTGTAAAATTAATATAAAAGGTAAGTTCGTTATTCATTCCCTTATATTTACATCTCCAATAAATTTCCCATATGATTCTTTACAATATAGAAAACAGTTAATTTTATCATGAACTACCAAGAATGATAATGAATATCTCAATTGTTACGACATAATACCGTACTTGACGTCAAAACTATAGTCCAAACTGTTTTGCTTTAAAAATGACAGTTGAATGGCGTAATTTGTGGCAACTCAGCAGAAAAATAGTGTAAATATAAGAAATGAATTTAATTTTTGAAAATTCATGAGGTACATGAACTACAACGCTTTACGCCGGCATATTTATCATAAGCGCAAACGCACTTCTTGAAATATGCCGGCGTGAAGCGTTGTAGCTCATGTCCTCATGAATCTTCAAAAAATAAATTCATTTCTTCAATAAATTCGAGTAAACATTTTTTGTCAAATGTTAATTGAATATTTATGCATTGAAATAGTTATGCTTAAAAATGAGAAGCATATTATTTTCTATTTATCCTAGATTTTTCATCTATGACAAAACAATTACTTAACCTTAAAGTCATGAGAGTCAATTTACATGTACCCAGAACAGGAGGGTTACAGACAGGTCTTGTAATTTTTTGGATGGTATACTACAGAGTTTTAAGTTATTCAACACTCATTGGTAAGTTCAGAGTCTGACTACAATGGGTTTTCAATAGCTCAACAGCTCCGTCAATGAATTGAATCCCATTATTTTTACCAATACCATAAAATTTACATTTATTTTGTACTTTGCAATGTAAACAAGAGGAACTATGAGCCAGTTCAGAAAAGTATACCAATGCGTTATTATTTTCTAAAGTGCCCAATTGCAATTCCATCAAGTGACCTTTAACTTGCCCAAATGACCTTCAATAAAACTTCAATAAAATACACACCTTCATGACAAAACTAAAATATGTGTGTGTTTAAATTTTTAATGATATCCGACAATTTGTACACGTTTCTTTTTTTTTTTATTTGTACCAGTGACCTTGACGAGAAAACATTTGCTGGACGTTCGAACTTCAATGAGTTACTACATGTATTACATTAATGGTGCAGTAGTTAGTGGGTTCGTCCTAGAAATCATCCTTGCGTTGCCTGTTCGTATCAGCTGCGAGACTTGGGAGACCGGTCATTTGAATGAGACCGTCAAAAATCGAGTCTCAAGTCACAGTAGATCCCGACACGATAAAGATTCCTCACTGCTCAAAGCCTAAGCCAATCTCAGGTCTTATTTTGCAGTTTTCAATTGGCAGGTAGTGGCCTCCCAACTTATGAGAAAAACAGTTCTCGGAGGGAAGGTGAACAAACAAATTTAACAAAAGGATATTATGATAAGGACTCGATACAAATTTTACATATTTTCTTTCAAAAACTTGATTTTTTCTTGATGATCTTTGGTCGATATAATGACACAACCTTAGGTTATAAGCAATATTAAAGTATAAATTTCATTAAAGAGCTTTAAATTAGATGAAATTATACACATTTGTCTGCCTGTAACCTTTGACGTGCAGGAATGACCCTAAGAAGGCTTTTTGCTTTCTTGGTGTTAAGAATAAACGTAAATATTTCTAGCTCTTTACAGATCAGAACTGGAATTATTCATTTTAGTACAAGTGAATTTGACTTTGGTAAATGACGGCACTAAAAGTTTATCGCACACATTAAGGTCACATGAAATTGTTGTATGAGGTGTGAACTTTACATTTTTCTCCATTAGAAAGTTATGGACTGGATACAAATTTTACATAGTTTTGTGAAATAGTCCTTGAACCTTATTTCTAGATCCACACACACTCATATCATAAGCAATCCTTCTGACAATTATAAACTTTTTTTTTCATCATAAATTTTTGGACATAACAGAAATACACATACAAAACGGACAGACAGGCAATGTTTTTCCTACATATCCCTTAACTTTGTTAACAAGGGTTAAAAGAATAGTAATAAAAAAAAACAGTTTCAACACATATACCATGATGCAATAATTAACAAAATAGATAACGTGTTTATACATTTTCTTTTATGATGTTTAAGTTTTGTAGATATCTTTACTCTTTTAATAGATAAACTCTCACTATCGTCCTTATAAACCTTTCTCTTTATTCTTCACAATAACTTCAGTCCTCACAGTTTTCTCGGCAACTGTGCTGCTGCTATTTGTAAAATGCTATAGTCTGCCAAGCAGTTCTTATGAAAGAGAGGTTCAAGCTTATTACTTTGTGTGTAATATTTTAGATACCATTATACCTAAATGTCAGGATTTCTTTTGAGTAGAATATAGTAGAGTTTGAGTATATGTAGATAAAATTTGTTATGTTTAACTATATCTTAAAATATTTTAAAAATTATCTCACTAAAACGGAATTTCATTTTTTTCAAAGAAACATTAAAATTATAAAATTCATTTTCAAGACATAAAATACTTGTTGAATCGTTAGTCCGGACGCCATTATTCTGGACAATTCTCTTATTGCACGACAAACATCCAGATTAGCGGGCACACTGTACCTTCATTGATGCAGCATTAGAAGCTTTGCAGCATTAATTCTCTGTGTAAAAGATTAATATATAATCTTCCAATCAGTAGTTTTCTTAGTATCTACAACACAAATGAAACAACAAGTAAAAATTGGGGTTTTCCTTCAAACTTTTGACAAATAAAGCTGAAATCATACATCTATCAAGTTTGATTCCGAGAACAATTTTAAGCTTGGAAATAATCGAAAATGATTTTTTATGGTATTCAAAACACCAGCGTACATATGTGAGAGCTGCTAAAGTGTCATATGAAAAGGATGTCACGTTATTTTTTTTTTTAATTTTCTGACATGAAATCTGAATATTTGATTGTATATGACTGACGTATAAATATGAATGAACAATCTCGGAATTTGTTCCAAATTTTAAATGTCTCTAATTTCAGAAAATGGCAAATTATGCACTGATAAAAATATTAAAACGACGAGAAATTTATTATTCGAATAACATATTTTTGCCGATTTATTATATCCTGCTTGTCGTGTCATGGGGACAGATAGAGAGGAATTGTAAACATTTAGATAGAATAGAATTATAAATAGACAAGATATCAGATTGCACAGCGTAACAGAAAAAGTGGGAATGAAAGTGAATGTCAGAATTCACGGTGAAACAAATTGCACATATATTTGAATAGACAGTTTTTCACTGTATCACGTTTAACACTTTTAAGACATTGTTAACCAGGAAATAGCACTGTCTTATTCTTCCTACCTGTTGCAGAAGCTCTAGGTCTGATATGATATACCAAGGAGAAGGTGATATCATTAGTTCGTGTCTTTTTCCGTTTAGGATATTTTGGAAATGGATATTTGGGCACTGATGTTAAGAGGAAAGACTCTCTAACAAAAATTTTTGTTCACCTTGCCTCATATCCGTGTACCATATGGAGGGTAAATTGGCTCCGAGTGCTGCTGCTTTTTCCGTCAACATACATCGTATATAATTTCATGCATAAACGTTAATATAAAATGACCAAAAATAACATTTTGTAATATAAGACAAACAAACGACGTCAAGATATATAATATAAGATACATGAATACAAAACCTTTCATCTAAGAGTGATTTACAAGTGTGCTTCATTACATTACAATCATCGTCGTATATCTTCATGAAAAAATAACACAAATGATACATATTTTTAAACCATCATTCTTCAAATTAATCTTCAAATTCTCCTACCATTCACCCCCATAATTAAATGATCCCCTATTTCCATTATTTGTACAATCTGTTTGATCTGTATTTACAGGAATGGCTCACATTCTTATGAATTATCCGAAAGTGTATTAAAAAGAATGTTATCATGGATAAACAAATGATACTTTAACTAGATCTAGTGAGAGTCTGCAAATTTTAAAACAATGAAATGATTTATATAAATATACGTTTTGATGGACAATACATCTTTTAGTCATACTTTATTTGCTTAATTATATTTACTGCGAAAATCTTTTTTTCTTTAAGGAATATAAGACAAGCGAAAAAAGAATTAAATTTAAAATTTCAAATCGAATTTTTGTTGGCACCATTATTTAGTAAAAGATGTACCGTGCTGTCATGTCCATTTTCACATGCCATGTGGAGGGGACTGACTCCGCTCTTCGAACAGAAATTAATATCAGCGCCATTATTCAGTAAAAGTTGGACTATACAGTCATGTCCATATTTACAAGCTATCAATAGAGGACTTACTCCATCTTTGTCACAAAAATTGACAACAGCGTCGCTGTTTAATAAAAGTTGGATTGTACTCTCATATCCATATTGACAAGCTATGCACAAAGGACTGACTCCATCATTAGAACAAATATTAATTTCGGCACCTTTCTTCAATAACTTACGGATTATGCTGTTATGCCCTTTTTGACAAGCAGTATAAAGGGGATTCACACCAAACTTGTTACATGAATTGATGTCAGCGCCATTATTCAGTAAAAGTTCTACAGTACTATCATGTCCATTTTCACAGGCTATGTAAAGGGGACTGGCGCCATTTTTGTTACATGCATTGATATCTGCGCCGTGAGTCAGTAAAAGGTTTACTGTTTTCTCATGTCCATTTTGACAAGCTATGTAGAGGGGACTTTCTCTTTTTTTGTCACGTGAATTGATGCTGACGCCGTTGTCTAGTAATAGTTGTACCGTGCTTTCATGTCCATTTTCACAAGCTAAATAAAGAGGGTTAAATCCATTGTTCTTATTTAAATTGATGTCGGCCCCGTTGTCAAGTAAAAGTTGTACCATGCTGTCATCTCCATTTTTACAAGCTATCCACAGAGGGCTGACTCCATTGCTCTTACTTGAATTGATGTGCGCGCCATTGTTCAGTAGAAGTTGTGCTGTACTGTTATGACCATTTTCACATGCTATCCACAAAGGTATTCCCCCATTTTTACTAAAAGAATTTATGTCTGCGCCATTATCCAGTAAAAGTCGTATCGTTCTTTCGTGTCCCTTTTGACAAGCTATAAACAGCGGACTGAATCCATCGTTGTAACATGAGTTGATATTGGCGCCGTTATTCAGTAAAATTTGTGCTGTGCTATCATGTCCCTTTTCACATGCTATGTAGAGGGGACTGTTTCCAGCGTTATCACATGAATTTACGTCGGCGCTCTTGTTAATTAAAATTTGTACTATGCTATTCAGTCCCTTTTGACCAGCTATCCACAGAGGACTGACTCCAAAGTTGTCATATAAATTAATATCGGCGTCGTTATTAATTAAAATGTCTACCGTTTTGTTATGTCCATTTTGGCAAGCTATCCAAAGAGGACTAACTCCATTGACGTTACATGAATTAATGACAGAACCTTTATTTAATAGAAGTTGTACCGTGTTTTCATGTCCATTGTTACAAGCAATCAACAAAGGACTGCTTCCCCTTTTTGTGCATACATTGATGTTGGCACCTTTGTTCAGTAAATGCTGTATCGAGCTATTGTTGCCAATTTGGCAGGCTTTATGAAGGGGACTTACTCCATTCTCGTTACAGAAATTGAAGTCGGCTCCATTGTTTAGTAAAAGTTGTACGATGCTAGCATGTGCGTTTTGACAAGCTTTCCACAGCGGACTAACTTTTCTGTTGTCACATAAGTTAATATCGGCGCCGTTTTTCAGCAGGAGTTGTACGCTGCCTTCATGGCCATTTTGGCAAGCCATATAAAGAGGACTGACTCCATTCTCATTACAGTGATTGATTTCTGCACCTCTATTCAGAAAAAGTTTTACCGCACTGTCAAGTCCCTTTTCACAAGCTATATAGAGTGGACTGATTCCATCATTTCCACAGAGATTGATATCTGCGCCATGGTTTAATAAGCAAAGAATAGTTTTGATACTTCTCTCTTTTCCTTGCCATTGTCTTCTAGTCTTTTGTAAATGTTCTTCCCCAGCTACTGTAGCCAATTTTAAAGGAGTCCAAACATTATCAATGGTAAACATATTGACGTCAGTACCTTGTTTGACTAATTCTTCAATTTTTGAAACATCATGGGATGCAGAAGCAATGTGAATCGGATTCTCTGTGCTCTTATTGGAGCTTGCTAAATGTTCTGGAATAACAAACATTTAGTGAGTGTACTATATAATAAATTTCAATATATTCTTGGACAAAATTATAAATATGGTAGGCATGTATTATATCTATTTTTTTTTCTAGAACGCCATTTGTCCATTCAAATTTTGCAATAATTTCTGTTATAGCCCCAGATGTTATGGGGGATATATACCAAAGTTGCATTCTAGATAAATTGCAATCTCTTCTTATTAATTGCAAAATAACCATTCGGTAAGGAGTGAGGTTTTACACCTTGGACCAAAGAAACAATCTTTGAACAAATTTGGTAAAAAAAAAAATACTGTTATTCTACTATCGCACAGTCAGTTGTATGGCAGATGTATCTATTAAAAAAAACAACGACCGAGGAAGAGCTAAGGCTTCCCGATAAAAAATCATAGTACATCCCAGGCATTCACTTTTTTGAACTACAAAGATATGACATCTTAATTGAATATGACGTCAAGTCGCTGCAAACTTGAGGTGTCATGAGGGGGACAGACCTGGGGTAATGATAATGTGTAATTGTAATGCATTGTAATCATTACATTTTTTCAAAGTAATGGGATGTAATGTGTAATGGATCCATCTTTCAATTACAAGTAATTGTAATGTAATGCATTACTTTCAAAAAAATGTCAGTAATGACCATTACTTTTCAATTACATTTCAATTACATTTTATATTTTAATATCTTTTTATTTCTGAATCTTAAACAAAGCAATGCCATTGAGAGTTTTTTTTCTATTATTGATAATGTTAAAGTCTAAAAATTAAAATCCTATATCTTACCATTCTTTTTAAAAATGTTTATTCAATGGTGATTGATAGACAATATACTAAATAATTGTTTTAGTAGAAAACTTCTTGACAATTAAGACAGTTATAAATTCAATTGAAGAGAGCCAGAAAAAAAAAATTAAAAGAAATCATTAGGTTTCAAAGATAGCCACAAAACAAGTGACATTAATACATGTACTATACTATGACTACCAATAAAGATACAAACTATTTTTTCAACTTGAGATTTTTTTTCTTTTCAAAAAGTTCATTCTGGCAAAATGGACTTGGAAAGCAAGATACAAGATCAGTATGATCTACTCGAAGACACAAATGGAAACTTAGGCCAAAATGTAAATACATATATTGATATTGTCCATCATTCATTTTTGTTAGCTTTAGAGTCACCTCTAACTTCAAACCCTATATCTAGGTATCAGTAATTATCACCTTTGATTGTGTTAAATTTATATCTTCATTGATTATGCCTGCTCAGCTAATTATGAGTGCCAATTAATTAAATTATTAATACATACTCTTTTTACAATTATAGAATTCAGTATGAAATGTTTATCATTTATTAAAAAAAAAGAGGAACTAACATCAGAGACTGAACAAAACTACAACATTGAAAGTGTTCTAGCTGATCCACTTTCTTTGCCAACTATAAAATTGGTAAACTACATTAACATGATAAATGAATCCAAAATCCAAATACCACTCTGACTTATAGACCTGAAGAAAAGCATATTAACCGAGCACAAAGTGTGAGAAAGTTAATTTATGGATATAAATTGTGTGGTCATAAAATTTGTGTTTTTCTCTTATAAAATGTAATGTGTAATGTATTTCATTACTTTAACAAAGTAATTGTAATTTAATTAATTACTTTTCTGAATGAGAGTAATAGTTATGGTAATTGTAATGGTAAAAATTCCAAAGTAATTGTAATTTAATTCATTACATTTCAAAGTAATTGACCCCAGGTCTGGACGGGGAGAGTGTCAAAAACTTCAGGCCTTATTTCAGACATGTAAAGTGTTAGAGCCTTTTAGTAAAATTCGAGTGAATTGACTGTAATTTTAAGCCTGGGGATGTCTAACTTTTATTCTATATTTTAGGCGTAACGTTGTTCAATTTATTTAGAATGAAATTAAGGGTATTTAGTACTATAATGCAAAACGAGACTTGCTTCCTTCCAGGCTGTCGCAAGTCCTTATAGGAAAACTTAAAATATTTTGTGAAAATTCATAAGAGGAGAATGTTCTTTCAATAGATCGCTTCGCTTTGATATAAATTACGATGAAGAGTGGAACATATCCCCATATGTGTGGTTAAGTTAGAATTCTAAAGAAATATCTTGTAGACTAATAATATTATAGCTCGTCCTGAGCAATCTTCAGGTACATTTTCATGCAATTATTTTATTTATGTAACAAAATGTTAATATAAATTGCATTATGCACTTGTGCTCGATCGATTTATGTAGTGTATTTTCAAAATATAGCCATCAATGAGGTTCCCATTCTTAACCCTGATCAATGATACGGGTCCAATGAATTTTACAATTTTCTTAGAGAGATAAGTGTTGTTATTAGCTATTTTTAAAATGAAAACAACTGCTTCTCAGGATATAAACAGTCTCGCTAGAAGTCATTATTTCCTTTCTTTATTATTAAGTTATATGGTCAAAACAATGACCTTATCTGCAAAAGCAATCTGTTATTGGATCAAATGCGGACTGATTTCTTTCATACTAATTGTTATGCCATTATTTACGCATTGAAATGTCAACGGATATTTCCGTTTACCCGATTATGACAACACAAATGACCGTCGGCAGAGTATGCGTACTCCTCCATGGCACCTGATTCCACCTTTGATGTTTTAAGATGTCTGTATTTGCTGTGCTTCCGATTCGTATTGTTTAAAGGTACTTTGAGCTTGAATGCTGTTCGTTGTCTCCATATTTTATAATAAATATTTTGGTATACAATTAATATATTTAGGACCATTTAATTTGACAAAAATGAGTCGTTTCCACAAACTTCATGGACAACCCTCATGTGCATTAATATTCAAGCAGCACTTACGTATGGAGTTTATGTCTTCCAATTGGCTCAATATGTAAAACATGTTTTTAATACAATCAATGTTTAAACCAATGCACACTATTTACAAATAAGCCTTTGTTCCGTACTTTTGGCTAGGTCACTGTTTAAAGTAGCCGAAAATGCACTTGGGGGTGTTCGGTCTACCTTCTACCTGATAAGTACATAAGGGTCATGTGCCCGATCGACAGGGAGTGCTTTACTATAGGCACCTAATCCCAACTCTGGTGCTTCCGGAGTCTGTGTTTTTCTCTTCTTCAAGATTTGTTTACTGATTTTTTTATGATATTGATCACTGTTCGTTATCTTCTTCTTATATAATGAAGTCCTTGCTGGTATTTTTTTTTTTTTTTTTTTTTTTTTTTTTTTTTTTGTAAATTAAACATAAATTACCTTCTTCATGCGCATGTCCAGGAGTAACCTCCATTTCTTTCCAAGCCTATCTCAATTCGTCGTTTATTGCAATGCAAGTTTGACAATTTTAGAGTTGTCACCAGGTGTTTGCTCAAGCGCCTTTTTGTTGATATTCAGTAGTCTAGTTCTGTAAAAAGAAACTTGACGTTAGTTACCTTACTTTTTAGTGTCAAGTTTAACCTAAGCATTATGAAGAAGAATTTCTTAATATGTTTTTTTAGCAAATATATTAGATTTCTACCTCTTTAAAAAAAAACCCAAAGATTTGCAAGCTAGTTGAAGCAGAATTTGACTTAACATTAACAGATAACGTTTTCAAACTATAAGATTCTTGATTTTACCGATATGAACATTTTGTATATTGGTAAAAGTTTTCATTTTTTATTTCATTTATTTTTTATTTTTTTTTAATAGAAAGCATACTTTTTATGCATAGAAAACGGCAGCGGTCTTGAGCTTTTAGTCGAAGATATTTTCGGTCACCACATTTTTCTGAACCTTTGAAATAAAAACTGCGAAAAAATGTTGTAGTTTACCATACTATAGAGTATCATAGTCTAACATGACATGAAGTGGCACACGGCGGGGAATCCTCCATGGACCCTCATCCACTTTTTTTTAGTTGGAAGTCCGTGTTTGTTTTGCTCACAGTTTGTATTGTTCGGTTGGACTTTGAGCTTAATTTTATTTATGATCAGGAAAAAAACGTAAGGTTATACAAGCCCATAATTTATATTCCGTTTAAAGGGCTTTATGTCTGCCTTGTATCATATGACGCCGGAGGTGTGTTGCTGTACAAAAATGTTTAAAGAATAATTATCTATTTGTATTTTCAGACTATTTGATACACGTGCTTATATTTAAAATTAATTTGTACACAGGCAATTAATCTAAATACAAATACCCTGAAAAGTCTTAGGAATATTAATTTTAATTCAATGCCATAGCTATTTACTGATATATATATTTTTTTAAATTTTATCTGCATATATTGGACAGGTTAGCGATTCTGCAGGTAATTCAAATAAGGTATGGTGTTTAATATGCCTTCTGTCTTGTTTTGTCTTTGTTTCAAAGACCCTTCTTACTTTTGTGTCTATGCTATGTTTTTTTTTTCTTTATTTTCATTATTCAGATTTAATCTGACAAGTTTGTATTATTTCAATCGCTTCATGCATTATGAAGTATAATATTTAGAAGCACCTGTTTGTAATATGATCTACTAAATCGTCGAATTAAGGGCCATCCATCACGTGAGTCATGATTCAAGTAGTCTTATATGTTAGGGTACATCAATAAAAGTAACTATTAACCTTTTGTTCTTCAGCAGAACATTTTTTAAAGTTTAACTATACGTATTTTTATTTCTTTATATTAATCCTGCACTCAACATTTTGTCAGGTTTTATGATTGAGGCGATCTGTATGCCTGATTTTCTTTACAAACAACAACTTACAAAATAAAAATACTCACACATTCTAAGTATGTTGTCCTTGCAGAAGATATTGGGATCAAAATAACTCTGATTCCGCTGTACACAAAAACTGATATTCGTTGTAATGCGCAATACGTAAATGACTTGCTGGTGATATAGCCTTCTATGTTGACGAGCAATAGGTGTATAAAAAAGAAGCCATACATGTCCTTTTAAACTT